AAAAAAAAAAAAAAAAAAAGCAAACCCAAAAAACTCTCCAAAGCCTTTCCCAGTGTCCAGGGAATAAATATACAGTTTTTGCATGCCTTTACGTAGTGAGCCCTGTTTCTCAGCACACCCAAAATGAAGCCTCTGCACCAGCAGAGCCTACTGTTCAATGATCCCAAACTCTGCCACCTCTGAGCCTCTGTCCAGGGTCACCTTTCCTGGAATACCTTCTCTGATTCTCCATAATACCCTTCATGCTTTAAAAGTCAACTCAAGTTTCAGACTTCTCAGAAACCTCTTTACAAGTCTGCACTGACCCCAAGGATTACACCAAAATGATGGTCATCCTAGCCATACACATGAAACCTATCTTATCTCCATATAAAGTATAGCTGTTCCTCAGTATCAGTGGAGAATTGGTTCCAAGATCTCCACGGATGCTCAAGTCCATATAAAAAATGGTGTTGCATTTGCATAGAACCTACACACATCCTCCTATAAACTTGAAATCATCTCTAGATGACTTATAATCCTGAGTACAAACTAAATGTTATGAAAATAGCTGTTACATTGCATTAGGGAATAAAGACAAGAATAGAAAGTCTATACACATTCAGGGCAGATGTAATCCTCCCCTGACCCCCAAATATCTGTGACCTCCAGTCAGCTGCACTGGAGATATGGAACTCATGGACACAGAGGCTGGCTGTGTGTTCCACTTTGATACCTGGCACAGTATTCTGCCTACAGTAGGGGTGCTGAGTGGATAGGTGTATATGTACATGTACAGGTTTATTATCTTGCTTAAGAGATTTCAGTGTCAAAGGCTTATAAGGTACATAAGCTTTGACTCAGCAATTCTAATCCTAGAAATAAATCAGAGAAAAGTCAAGGATGCTTACATAGACAGAAGTCAGCTGCTGAGGATGTTTGCTACCGTGCGTTTTACAAGAGAGAAGATGGAAAAGTCGTGAGGGGCCAATGCAGTAAGACTTGACCTGCACCAAGCAGCTAGAGAAATCACGTGGAATATTTACTAGAATGAGAACCCCATAACATATGACTAAGTGCAGAATGCCGGTGGCAAGACAGCAGGACTCCATTTTTATCAGACGGGCAGGTGTACAGTGTGTGTCTCTCGGAAGGTGGCCTGTGGGGCTACTTCTCCTTTGTGGTTTTTGTGAATTTAAATTTCTGGGCCCTGGATTAAAGTGTTACTCATTTGCGGAATGATTTTTTTTAGATGGACATTTGCTCTTTCCAACCACAAATGTCTGAATGGGGTGGATGCATGCCTATCTCACAGTGGTCCAACATGAGCCTACATCAACATTGGATTCTACTAAAACTTAGCACCGTGAGAAAAGCATCCAGCTTCCATGAGCACCACATCCCTGTGCCAGGAGGTGGGAAACTGGTCCCACCGGCCTCTGCTCTGCTGCAGAATTCCTGTCAGTCCTGGAGGAGGTACTTATTTTTCTCAAATCTTAGTTTTGCTACTTCAAAACAGGTGAATATTCTCCCTACTCCACCCAATTCCAGCTTACAAAATACCACAGGATCAATTAGATAGTATTGTAAAAATGGAAAATATAGTATAAGAAGGCAGTCGATTAGCATCAGCTAGGGTTATTATCAGGGTTATTTCCAAACTTTTAAAATCTCTGATTACGCTGTAATGTGAAGTCACATAGTAGCATCTGATTCATGTGCAGACATGTAGTGAAATACAATTTCATTGGCTACCCAACTTCAAAACTGTGGGTACATTCGGTAACACTTCAGGAATAAAAATGTCAAAATCATTTTAGGATAACATTGCTAAGCTTCTTTGTCCTCTAGAAATAGTTCCCACATACTCTTCAGGTTTTTGTCTTTGTTTTTTTTTCTTTTAAGAGAACATACATTATGGAAATGAATTGCAATAGGAGAAATACACTGGGTTTTAGATAAAAACTTAAAGACAAAACATACAAAGCCTTGACAAATTCATTATGAAAGAAACAAAGCATGATTCTCTATCTTTGCAAACATTTCGATGCCAAATCTATTCTGTCTAGATAGGCAAATAATCTTGAAATAGGCACATAAATACAAGGTACGTATTTATAGATACACACGACTGAAGGCTGTTGGCATGTGTCCACAAATGTACGCGCCAAGACACAGAAACACCCAAGCACCCCATCGGGTAACCTCCCCAGAGACGTGTGTTCAGGCCCCAGATAAAAAGGACAGCAAGAAAGAAAGGATCCCTTGAAGGGAAGGGGGGCTGCACTCCCTGGAAGACGTGTCCACTCACCTGTTAAGTGGTTGGCAATCCGGGCAGTGGGTTTGGGAGGCAGGGCCGGGGGCTGCTTGAGAAGGGACAGCTGCTTCACTGGGGTCTCCTCATGGTCTCCAGAGAAAGCAGTAGCTTTTTTGGGGGGCAGTAGCAGGACTGGTTTGGCTGAAGGATCTTGGGACAGGAGGACTCCAGACTCACTGGCAGAGGGGCTCTCTTCAGACACTGAGGGGACAACCACATGATACACAGGAGACATTACACACACGCAGTGCAGGTGGGGCTGGCTAGGGACACAGGACAGAGACACAGGCAGGCTGGCCAGACAGCAGGCACCGACTGGCCCAGGTTGTCACACAGAAGCAAGGACATTGGGAATCCGACAGAGCAGGAGGCACGGAGAAAGGACAGAGAGGAGAGAGGAATGAGAAGAGGAAGGAGGAAGAAGAGAAAGGAGGAGGAAGGACATTTTTCTCATAAAATATATCACCATTCCAATCTCTGTGCTTATTAGACAAAGTCTACGGATGCTTCACGGTGTGACTCACAGGACCACAGCAACAGTCAGCGGATGGCAGGTGCATTAGACCAAGCATGAGGAGTCCCCTAACAAATGACAACCCAGCGCTGGGCCCTTTGCTAGGGCCTGGGTGTTCTTTGCTGGGGATGAAGACATAGTGGATTCACACTGGTGAAGGTCTCTCTGCGTTGCCCACTGGGGCTTGCTTTGCTCCTGCTTTCAGGGCTGGGGTAGGAAGGCTGGTGCTGAACAGACAGCTCCCCAGGCCTGTGCAGCCAGCGCCCAACACGACTCTAGTCATGGGGAACACCCTTGTCCAGCCAGCTCCTATGATCTCAGACAAGGCAAAGGATGCTCACGCCTCACCTTTGTATCTTCTTTTCTCATCTCCTCTTGTCTGCCAGAATTTTGGTGGTCTTATTTCTTTTTTTTTTCTCATTGAGTTTATTGGTACATTTTAGGTATACAGCACAGTTACATTCATTATGGGGATCTTGTACCTTTACATGACAAGTGGTCTCGGTTCTCATTTTTTCCCCTTGTCCCTGCTTCCCTTCACCCTGGTGGTCTTATTTCAATTCCCCTGTTTGTCTCTGGTTTGCTTTGGGCCTGGTTCTGCCTTTCCCCATAGAATCCCCCAGTGGGCTCCAGTTGGGAGCCAGTAGTAACACGCACCTTTCTACTGTTCTGGTGGCTTGGGTGAAGACAGAGTGAAACTATAGCTTTGCTGGGATGACAGATTCCACTAAAACAATCAAATTACCTGATTCTAATGTCAAAGGAAGACTAGGTTAAAAAAAAACTCACTGCTGTCTCCTTGGAAGACTCTCTGGAGGGGAGATTGTAAATTAGTGAGAAAGCACATACTATGTAATGCTTTCCCTCCTTCCACCTACGAAGAATTCTTAGGAGCATGGAATTCTCCCTGTCTCAAGGGGCTGTCTCGCTGTCAGTGACTAATACGCTGAGGGAGCCAGGTCTCTCCAGGCCCTACAGTGAAGTGCAGGACTGAATCCCTCTCCTTGACCCACATGAGCACCTGTGCATGTGGGTTTTGCACTGGGCATGCATAAAGGAGGTGGCTTTTCTGCCCATACTCCAGAAATTCTGAGAGGTTCTTCCCTGCGGACCCATCTCCTGATGACACGTACCATTCCTATCTGTTGTGAAGGACTCATCTTGGGGGCGATCTGATTATTCTGCAAAGCTCCTGAGTGGAGTTTTGGCTACTTGGGTGACTCTCGACCAAAGAGGGAGGCAATGGTCTGATGGTATCGATTGGGCATCACCTATTGGCAGACTCCCACTTACCCAGAAAATTGTATGCAATGTAATCAACAATTAAATTAACTGACTGGATCTAGTAAACTGATACAATCATTAATGGATATACTGGGACTAGAAATTAAACGGTATGACCAGGCCCTTTGAACAGGCAAATTATATACTGTCCAGAACATAGGAGCCCTTGCTTTCACAGAGATTCATGTGAGAAAACAAAACAGTGATATTTAAAATCATCAATGTGACAAAGCAAGCTATATCTCCATTAAGGTAATTAGAGTCATAAAAAAGTTTTTAACAACTGCAGAACAACAGGTATAAATATCCCCCATATTTTCTTATCCTAATAAGTATGAAGAACTGATAGGTCGGTTCCACCCACATTTCCAGATTCTTACACAGAGGATGGTCCAAAATGGAGCCCAAACTCCAGCCAGCAGAGGTGCCCAGGATGACCTCCTGGCGTCCTGGGTGTGGACCCCACCAGTGCATTACCTGGCCCATCCATGATGTCTGAAGCTTGGAGCACCTCGTACGAGCAGGGGTCCCTGGGCATCGGGACTGGCTCCATTTCGGACAGTGCAGGCAGAGACAACTGGCTGGAACTCAGGGACTGCCCGTTTTCCAGGGAGTCATCTTCATTTGATATGGAGAGCTCCCCATCTGCCAGAGATAAGGTGATCACAGAGTTAGGCCATGTCTGCCTTCCAGGAAGGGTAACACTTAGCACCTGCTGAGTCTAGGTGCTTTTGAACCAGCTTTATCAAGGTCAGTGCCTAAAGTCGACACCCGTTCTTTTGCTTTTAAGACATTTGCTTCATTTACAGAGATCAGTTGTCTGTCCATTGTCCAATGACCCTCAGCAACTTGCTTTCTCTCTCCATCTTTCCCATGCTGTTTATTTTATTTTTAAAAGGAAAGTGAGTTAAAGTTAAATTTTTGTTCTAATTTTTAAAAAGTTGGAAAAACTCAGCAGACCTCAGATATGGGAAAACAAGGATCGAGAATTCTTACTTCCAGGAGAAAAGAGATTTATGTTACTGAACAAGAACACGGTACCCTAAGGTCCCAGGAAAATATTCATCCTGGCTTTTAGTCACCATTCCCTTTAGTGGCAAAGCATTTCCAGAAGCTCCGATCTCTATCTAACAGACTGCCACAGCCCCGCTGGAGGTGCCAGAATTTCCCCAGTGCTGGCCACCAATCTTGCCCACTTTGATCTTGCTTACAGCTCCGTGGCACAAGGGGCAGCTGGTTAATGCCATAGTGGAGGATAAAAGGCTCCTGTACAATGGCCATTTGTCAAGTCAGAACTTCCCCGCTGTGGCTTCATCTTAGCCCTGGGGGTCTATTTCAGTCAGATGAATAAACACTCAGATGAAAGACAACGTCGTGGATGCTCAGAAGCTCAGAAACCAGCAAAGCAATTACCTGATTTAACATAGGCAGAAAGATGACTCAGGGTAGAAATGAAATAGTGGGGTAACTCCAGGCTAAATCTTTTCTTTCACTACATTCCTATCAAAGTTCTGATTCATCCATCACTGATATACAGTGGCACAGGATTCCTCCAGTCCACTCCATTGGATTTGGTCCAGGGAAGTGTTCAACAGAATAATCTACCGCCAAATAAGATTTCGATAGCACACGATTCAAGGACATATGATGCTTGACCTGAATCTTCTGCAAATACTAAAAAATTATTGAACACTGAAAAAAAAATCATCTGAAACAGACACTAGAAAGCACTGGCAGTTATAGAGGGGCTGACATTTTTCTTCTTATTCAGCTCTTTAAAAAATGTCCAGTATGGTAGTAGAGGTTATTATAATTGGGATGAACAGTCTGATTACTACTCATGATTAAGAACACAAGTGCAGTGCAGATGCTGAGGTCAGTGCTACGGAAATCGTACAGCTGAGCTGCGAGTCCAGGATAGCAAGGGCTGAAGTGTGTTAATGCATCGCTATGGGATTGTCGCCGGTCCTCCTTACATGGTTTATTTAGGCTGTTCAAGCTAATGTGATGGGAAGTGGCTATGCTTAAGCTTCCCAGCTGGTGGAATAATGACACAGCTGCCACTCAGTTCAATGCATCTCTAGGAGACCACTTTGATTTTTGATGTTCCAAGAATATTCAAAGTCCTGGACAAGACAACCTGGGGGCGGGGGGATCCTCGGTGCTACTGCCAAGTTCTGCTGCCTTGCGGCAAAGATGCTTAGCGTCCACACTGACTGGTAGCTGGACCACAGAAGCAACTCTGGGAGGAGATGCCACTGCAGCTGCAGTTTTTCGACCCTAAGTTTCTCAATGTGAGCTTTGCTAGTAAATGAGGAGTGATGTTGCTCACTCCTCTTTGGATGTATCCACTCTCAAAAAGTGGAGCTCCTCATGGAGTAAGGAGACCTTTTCTAGGCTGCAAAGGCTGAACGCACTTTGGGGAGAAATTAATCATGGGAATTCCATTGTCCTATCTGCTAAATGCACATTTCCAAAAAACATGGGAGAAATAAAACACTGATCACATCGCTATTCTAACAGAAGTAGTTTCTGCTGTAGTCCTACTGTAGTTGTACTACTATGTTATCAAATTTTGTGTCTTGCTTTTTTAAATTACCACATGCAAAATTTGCATGGTCATCATCATAATGATTATAATGGACAATTACAGAGATGTTTACTTAACTATTTCCTCAAGGCTAGTCACAAAATAACTTCCAGTGTTTTATGCTACCAGGAAAACAAGGCTGGACAGACCATCTTCCTGCATAGATTTGTTTTCCTGCAATTAGAATTTTCCCACTTCAGGATAAATTCTAACAAATCAAATCTGGGTGTGAGAGGTGGGAAAAATCAGGGTAAGAAGTTGTTAAATCCCTAGAAATAAAAAAGAAACAAAGGACTGAAGGAAGATAGCAGATGTGTACTAAGAACACAAGGAGGGTACATATTACAGGAGGATTTTGTCCTGCATGGAATTTTTCAGTGTTCTAAAATGTAGTTTATTTGAAAGTTCCATCCAGAGTTTTAGCTTAGAAGACACATTTTTAAATGTTTTGTTTTTTCACTAATTGTACCTACCTCTACAAAAGTTGCAATTGTGACTATATTCCAAGGGCCTGGTTTTAAAATTTTAATCATATATTGTTTTGCTATTGTCATGTGTTTTATATCAGGACTTATTATAGTTTGGATGTTGAATGGCCCCAAAGTCCCAGGGAGGGGCTTTGGGGAAGTGCTGTGGTCCTTTAAAAGGTGTGGCCTAGGGGAAGGTCCTTAGGTTACTGGGGGTGTGTCCTCAAAGGGGACAAGAGGTGCCTGGTCTCTTTTTCTCTGCTTCCTGCCTTATAATGTAAGCAGTTTTCTCTGCCTCATGTTCTCTCCACTTCCACCTGACCACCCCCCCACCTATGAACAGGTTTTTCAATTTTAGACCAGAACCTCCAAAACCATGAGCCAAAATACCCTTTTGTTTTCATAATTTAATCATCTTAGGTATTTTGTTACAGTAATGAGAAGCCGACTAACAAAGGGAGATTCCCTGGTTTTGGGGCAATAGACGTCAACCTCTAATGAATTAAATTTTTTGCCTTAAAGCTCAAGGTTAACTGAAGTTGTTATTCATAGATGAATGTCACCACGGAGGACAGGTGACATAAATTCATTCAGGTTCTCATGGACACTTAGACAATAACAGTTTCTACTTTAAAAAAAAATTACATGAAAAATGGACTTTTGCTTTGAGAAAGTGTAGTGTATGGCCCTGTGGGGACCTAAGATAACAAAGTGTCAATTGTAATGATGAAAAATAAAAGTACTTTAATAAACTTAAGCTTACCATTGAATCTGACTTTCTAGGCTATGAATTATAGTTTATATAAAAATCTATATTTAAAAATTATTTCTGGTAGAATAAGAATTCTTTGATAAATAACAGTGGGTATGAAAAAGAATTACTTTATATCTACATGCTGAACCATAAATAAATTTTATATATTTCGTTTGGATCAAAAAATGAAAACCCAAACTGAAAAACTAGAATAAATAAAAATAGAAAAAATATTAGAAACAAATATATATTTATTTGTTCAGGCTGTACAGAAGGAAGCCAGATGGATAGTTTTGACTTACTCATAAAACTTTCTGATTTTTAATTTGGGAAATGGAATGCTGTATACCAAAAAGAAGAAAAAAAAAAAGAACATAATGGAAAAATATGAGCCAAACAAAGCTTATAAAACAACAAACTATTTCAAGAAGAAAGAGTATTTGTTCAGGTAAATAAAAAAACGAATCCCAGGTGCCACTTGCAAAATGCATAACCTTGCTGGGAAGGAGAAAAATGCAAATGAAATGTCCGTGTGGGTGATGCTGATAGAGGAAAATGTATTTGTAGCAATGTCAAGCACAACATCAGGAATTAGAACAATATGCACATGTTGGTTACAATGACACCAAAATGAAACATGCATGTAGGTTGGCAGCATTCTGAAGGGAATCTGGCATGATATAAGTAGAGTTTAATGACCATTAACTTGTTTTATCCCATAAAAATGCTAATGTTTATTTCTAAAAATAAAAAAAATTTGCATGCTGCCTCATTAAGTTAAATGGAAAAAATAACAGCTTTTGTTAGAGGGGAAATGCCTTCCCCACTCCTTTGGTTCTTGGCAGGAGGAATTTTCCATAAATGCTTTTCATTTTTGCCCAGTTTTTTTTTTTTACCGTATCCATAGAATTAGCTCATTGCTAAGTAAGATGCAACCACTGGTTCCTGCTTCTGCCCTGGAGGAGCTTCAGTCTCTTTTCCTTCTTAACTTGGAGCAGTGCATATTCAACACTTAAGACTTCCTCCCTAGCTGGACTGACTGTGGGTGTCCAGGATGGGGAAGAGGAGAATCATCAGGCCCACTTATGAATTACTCCAGCCCAGTCTTTATCAGACCCTACCATGAGCGCCCATTTGTCCTAATTTTCCAATGGTTTAGAAACACAGAAACAGAAGAATGGTACTCATAGTGGGACCCTCAAATCTCTAATGATTTGGAGGGAAGAAAGAGAACAAGGGAAGAAAGTATTTCTTCCATCTTATGTACAAAGAAATTGAAGGCATCATGGATGGGTAACAGAAAGAACGGTGTTATAAACCATGCCTTCCTAGGAAGCCTGCATTGCAGCACACAGAAGTGTGATGGTGAGCATCCCTGACGTATTCTGGGAGACAGTGGATGAGAGCAGCACAGAGGAGTGGTAGAGCTGGACTCAGAGCATGGGGAAGCCAGTGTCACCATCCTTGCCATCAAACTCCTTAACCTTTGGGGAACTGGGCTTCCAGCCCTTGACATTAGACTATACTAGATGATGCTCAACCTCCTTTCAGCATACTCCCTGAATGAGAAGAGATGCTGGAAGAAACACAATAAGCCCCCTACTCACCCCTATACTGCAAATCAGCCTGAAATAAGACATGAGCCAAAGCAGCAGAGCATTTTACATTTAGATTTTCTTTTTTTGGTATGACTTACTCTGTTTGGACACATTACAGCAAGAACTGGGAAGGAAACTGATGTATTTCTGGCTTGTTGGAGTTAAATACTGCTCTATGTTTTTATTTTAGAAATGGTAAGAAAAGTTTTAGCGTCAGTCTAGAGGCTTGTACTTGT